GAGAACATCCTTTTTGAAGCCTCACAGTGGCGAGAAGCTGTTGATCAAACTTCAGGGATCCTCTTGGTCTAATGGTGTCATAATGTGAACGGCATGATGAAGACTGATGAAGAAAAACTGTTATCAAAGAAGAGCATTTAGTGAGCATTTAGTAAGAAACACATCAGAAAGATACACATCAGAAACAGAAACTTGTGGTTTTTGTGGTTGATATTTTGAGAACAACAAGTTACACAATAAGTACGGAAACCCTGAAGAGACAAAAATGATAATTAAGTTCCTCTCTAAAGGTCATGATGCATTTTATAAGCATTCTGAAATTTCTTGCCAAATCCCTTATCTTCTGTGTAGTGTAGGTAGACTTGAATGTTTTGAAGTTTTTACGTTGTTTACTGTGATCTAACTTGTTATATCTCATCAACATAGCATTTCAACAGAGACATGCGAACGTTTGAAGGTCATAATATATAAATTATCAATATTATATGTTGGATATTATATCCTCCTCACATCGAAGTCTGCATTTGGCCATAAATCCTGTCAATGCTCAATGTGAGCATTGACAGGATTGACAGGAGCAAGTACAGATCCCAGAGGTGGAAGCTCTGGGATCTGTACTTAAATATGAAAGGAAGTTTTCATAGCATGAAAAATTAAGAATTAAGAAGCCAAGAAAAGGCGAAGAGACGAAAGATAGACCTGACGGTTGAGCAGTGAATATTATACAAGACAAAATTTCTGTCATTGTTAGTGAGGAACATCCCTGACTGGTATTCTTTTAAGGGTGTTATAAATGCAGAATGAGGAACATTTTTGGCTTATCATGATTTTTAAATGTTTTTTTTACTCTAGTGGGCTTTACTTGACAGTGAATCGACAGGAAAGTGGGTTCTGAAAAGATGAGAAGACACGTGTCAAAAGTCAACAGCTTCATAAACACTTACTTACATTTGTATTTCTAACAACAAAATTAAATCTGGAAAACAATCTGCTGTCACCACACATAACCATGAAACTATCCGTTTTCCCTGCTGCTGTCATATTCAATAAATTAGGTTATTATCAAAAAGTTAATTTGTTTTAGTAACTCAGTTCATTAATTGCATTGCGCTCTGTGGCTTGTTTTAAAATTGAGTTGTTTCCTCACTTTGACTTTCAGAAAGTGAAGATCCTTGCAAATGATGCAACAACCCTAGTGCCTTTAAGACTTTGTCAACTAAAACAATCTAATAAATATGGCACAGTAGTGTTTACATAGTGCAAAGTTAACACCAAATGTGCTTGTTACTGCATGTAGCATGCCTTTTAACTCATCATAGCTGATCCAAGTTTCGGTCAACTTGCAGAACACGTTTCTTTTTTTTTTTTTTCATTTCATTTTTTCTTCCTGCATGAAACTTTCAAGCTTTTTGATGTGCAGTGTTAGCTCAGATTAGGATTTCACATTCACAAAGTGCATTCAGATTAACCTTTGTTCTCTGCCAGTTCCTAAAATAGACTGCTGGGTGGAGCTACCTGAAAGTATTTTTAGCAGCTCCCTTAAAAGCACACCTCCATCTCCCTGCTGTTCATTCACACCAGCATGTTCAGACAATTCAGGCAGCTTTCCCTGCTAACAACCTTCTGATGAGAATCTATTGTTTTCAGGTTAATAATCACAATGAGGCAAACTGTTCTCCACCCCAATGTCACCCTAAAATTATCACTTGCCCCATCAAATAACTCTCATCAAAGTCTTCTATAGACAACACTGTGATCAGGGAGTAAAAATCAGGTTAGTAACACTAGTTTGGGAAATAGGAAACATAATAGTCTGAAGTGAGGTCATAAACAAAGCAATTGAAAAAAATCCTCCTGGAAGCAGTGATATGTTAACCAGGGACACTCCCTCTTTTGCCATAGTTCTTGTGTAATCCATCTAACATAACCTGCTTTTATAAAATTCCCAAGCAGAGAGAGTTTGAGGCAGATGAGGAGGAGAGAGCAGGAGAAAAACTGATAGTGGATTACTAGACAACACGTGTAGAGCTGTTGGGATTAGGAGGCAAGTGGCGCATATCACCTTGTGGGAAAGCATACGGATACACCTGTATGTTTCCCAATGAGATGCAGATACTGCAGCAGCTGGCTGTTCTGGGTAACAACAACTTTCTTTACTTTGTTCAGAAATGTAATGTAATCCACTTGACAGAAACCTTTTTTTGAATGTATTTTATGCAGTGAAACTACCATTAACATTAAACTTGTGCCATATCCACTGACTGATATATCAAAATGTGTTGCTGTTTGCATTGCAATTTCTGTGAATAGAATAGAATAGAAACAGCCGTTGCTGAAATTCAGGTGTAAAAGCAGAGACAGACATGAAGGTAACAATAATAATAATAATAATAATAATAATAATAATAAATGACAATGATGACATACTATAAAAGACTAAAATAGAAAATACTGTGCAGTTTTTAGAAATAGGCATATAGGACTACTCAAGACCCAAGGGATGTGTAACTGAGTCAGAACATGTCAAAAACGAACATTGAAAAATACAGACCATTTCTAATGC